TCTAAAGCATGCACAGTCTATGAGCAAACATCACAGGTGAGATATGGACCATGATCCATGGTGCTGTGGGAATAACCAGAGGGGTTCAGTTGACCAAGCAGGGGTAATCCATCAGCAAGTGGGATTGGAGCCATCTAGAAAGATTTTCCTAGGTAGACAGTTGAAGAATTCCAATCCAGGAGAATAGCATGCAACATGAAAGCATGAAATAACATGATGGGGCCCATCGTGGTGACCTAGTGGCTAAAGTGAGAATTCTCACCTTGAATGCACCGGGATCCCATGTAGGCACTGGTTCTAATCCCGGCAGCTCCGCTTCCCATCCAGCTCCCTGCTTGTGGCCTGGGAAAGCAGTCGAGGACGGCCCAAAGCCTTGGGACCCTGCACCCGTGTGGGAGACCAGGAATGGCTCCTGGCTCCTGGCTCTGGATTGGTGCAGGACCAGCCATTGCAGTCACTTGGGGAATGAATCATCAGATGGAAGGTATTTCATTCTGTCTCTCCTCCTCTCTGTATATATCTGACTTTGCAATAAGAATAAATCTTTAAAGATAAGAAAGAACATGATGTTCTTAGAGAGGAGGTCGTGTGGCATGAATGAACAAAGGGAATTAATTACTAGGGGCTCAGGAACTATGAGTAGTAGGGATGAGGAAATGAGACCAGAGAGGTAAACAGAGACCTACGCATTAGGGGTTTACAAATCATGCTTTGTTGATGGATACTAGGATCCTGTGAAGAAGTTTTCATAGAAGCATGACACAGTCAGACTTGGATATAAGCAAGAGGGTATGCATGGATGAAAGTAGACAGGTTGTCTTATTTGCCCTCCAGCAGTTCTGTAAGACAGAACTTCTTTACATACCTACTTTGCATACCTGAGAATACTCAGAACAGGAAGTGAAGTACCTTGGCAAAAGTCTTAGAGCCAAGGAGCCTAGACCTGGGATTCATCTGGCTTTCTGGCTCTAAATCTCTCTTTCTGGGCATGTTGCCATTGTTAACAAAATTTTCTAGAATGCTGCCTGTATATGGACAGTGGGTAGATACTGACAGGAGCAATATGAACCAAATGGTTGTTGATACAGTCTTGTTGAAGGAGTGTAGCACAGGGATTGACTTGTGGTGTGCAAGCTCCTGACACTTATGCCAACACACAGTAAGAAGAAGCAAGGAGCTATGAGCGTTAGGGTCTCCATTGGCTTGGCAATACCTATTTATTTTTGCCTCACTCATTAATTCAGAGCAGTGTCTGCCACCTGATACTGGCATTGTCAGTAGCTTGTTTCTGGAAGCCCTTTGTTCTCAAGGGTGATCAGCTTTGCAATCCATAGCTCTAGGGTGAACATGGGAATTAACTCAAGTCCTTTCACTGCCTTCATTTTGTAAATGAAATGACGTAAAAAAAATACACGAAAACCAAAGGTGGCATGATGTAGCATAGCTGTAGAGAACACTGGCTTGGAATTCACGTACACTGGAACTCCAAGGTTTTTTAGTTCTGCTGTGACCACTCATTAGCTATTTGGTATGTATGAGTTGCAGTTCCCTTATCACTAAAATGAGCAATGTCAAATGTACCTGAAAAGATGGTTGTGGTTGGTAAATGTGGCAATGTTTTTAAAATGCCTTGGCGTGATGCCTGGCACATAGGAGTAGCTTTAATTCCCACTTGTATCACTGCCACCACTACCGCCACAGTTTAAGAACACTCAGAAAACACAAAATAGAAGCAAAGATATCATCTGATCCTACAGCTGTGATAGAGGCACTTTGATAATTTAGCTGTATTTCCTTCAGTTTTTTTCCCCTCATTACTTCTAAACATATTGGGTTTTATTGCTTATGTCTTTTTATAGCCAGTCACTATCTTTTCCCTCTCAGTTAGGAATTGCATTATATTTGTTTTTCTCATTTTTAACAGCTCTTTCAGAGTGCAGAAAAATGAAACAAACCCCACTCATAATGCCAAGCTCATCCCCAGCCTAGAGGCAGTCACTGTTCACAATTTGATGTATCTCCTTCCACTTATTTCTATTCATGTTCTGCTATAAAGTTGAGATAATATATAGTGTTGATATGATATACAATTTTATTGCTTTTTTCTTGTTTCACAGAATAGCATATTTTCGATAGTGTTACTATAGACATTGCGTACTAAGGCTGCATAACAGCTATCAGATGGTTTTACCATAATTTACATAAGCATTATCTTATTGCACATTCTTTTTAAATTCTTCAGTCTAAGCAATTTTCTACCACAGGCCTAGGAACTAGCTACAATACAGCTAGAAAGCACATAATGAACTTGTGCAATGTGTTTGGTGTTGGGTAAGACATGGTGGAGACCTGCAGGTAAACCATAGGCAGACCCAACCTTAAAGGAGCTCAGAGACTGGAAAGCCGACATATTTACTGGGGGTAAATACACAGGTAGCTTTTTATCAGCCACTGTCAGGAAGTCCACACCCTGTCCACCCTGTGGAAGCTGGGATCTGAGAGACACAAAAAAGGACCCTTTCTCTTCCAGGTATGCAAATTGATCTCCAGTGTGAAAAGCTTCTCCAGTCTGTTGCTTAAATGTTAGGGGCCTGCCTAAGAAGCTTTGACTTTTTGTTTCCTAGTGGTTGTCACTGGGAAATTGTGAGAAGTGTTAAGAAAGGGACTTATGTTAGAATCAGGGTGGCTTTTGTCTTAGATATCTTTCATTTTACCTTAAAAAATTGCAGATAATATTGTTTTATTATGGACAACATGATGTTTTTATATATTGAAATGACTAAATCAAGCTAATTAGTATGGATATTACCTCACAAAATTGTCCTTTTTGTGTGCGGTAGGGAAACTTAAAATCTGTTAATATTTTTCAGGAATTCAATGTATTTTGAAAACTATTATCTTTCTGACAATATATATGAATCTTAGGGACATTGTGTGTAATAAAGCAAGTGTGATCTACAAGGACAAATACCACATGATGACAGTCGTGTGTGAAAACATTCCAGTGGATGATTTTACAGAAGTGGAGAACAGAGTGGTGGCTGTAGTCCTAGTTTGGACTTTGACTTGCCCTGGAAGTGGAGCAAGTTATTTGCCATTGCCAGGCCTCAGTGGTCTCCCTGTTATGAGCCCTAGGGCTCCTTCCAGCAGGAATGTTCTCTAGAACCTGAAACTTCCCTCTTGGTGGGGACTAAAATGAGCATCCTGACAAAGATCACCAGGTATTTCTCCAGAGTAGAGTTTCTCTTACTTAGTGCCTGGGGCGCCATTTGTGCTTTTGTAGCCCCCGTTACTGCATCATGGTAACAGCTGGGACTTGGCACAGGGAGAAGGGTATGAAGTTTCTCACTGGCAGGAAGCACTGGGTTCAGAACCCCCAAATGGTTGTCTTTTATGTATTAGATATTTGTGGATTTTTTTAAAGATTTATTTTTATCTTTATTGCAAAGCCAGATTTACAGAGAGAAAAGAGACAAAGATCTTTCATCAACTGATTCACTCCCCAAGTGGCCACAACGGCCAGGAACTGAGCTGATCTGAAGGCTGGAGGTAGGAGCCAGGAGGAAGCTTCTTTTAGGTCTCCCACGTAGAGACAGGCTCCCAAAGCCTTGGACTGTCCTCCACTGCTTTCCCAGTCCACAACATGCTCTGGCTCCTGGCTTCAGATCAGCCCAGCTCTGGCAGTTTTGATCAATTGGGAAATGAGTTAGCAGAGAGAAGATCTCTGTCTCTCCATCTCTCTCTTTCTATAGCTGCCTTTCTTTCTTTCTTTTTTTTTTTTTTTTTAAGATTTATTTGTTTGTTTGAAAGTCAGATGTACAGAGAGGAGGAGAGACAGAAAGGAAGATCTTCCATCTGATGGTTCATTCCCAAAGCAGCTGCAACAGCTGTAGCTGAGCTAATCTGAAGCCAGGAACCAGAAGCCTCTTCTGGATCGCCCACATAGATGCAGGGTCCCGAGGCTTTGGGCTGTCCTCCACTGCTTTCCCAGGCCACAAGCAGGGGGCTGGATGGGAAGTGGAACTGCCAGTGGGATTAGAACCAGTGCCCATATGGGATCCTGGCGTGTTCAAGGCAAGGACTTTAGCCAGGCTCAATAGCTGCCTTTCAATTAAAATTTTAAAAAGATTTTACTTATTTGAAAGAGTTACAAAGAGAGAAAGAGAAAAAGTCTTCTACCTGCTGTTTTACTCCCCATATGGCCACAACCACCATTCTGGGCCAACCTGAAGCCAGGAGCCAGGAGTATTGGCCATATCTCCTATGTGGGTGGCAGGGGTCCAAACACTTGAATCATCTTATTTTCCCAGGCCGTTAGCAGGGAGCTGTATCAAAAGTGGGCACAAAGAAGCAGCCATATGGGATGCTGGCATTGCAGGTGGCAGCTAAACCTGATATATCACAACACTGTCCCCTCGAAACTTTTTATGTAGGCAGTAGAACAAGGTAGAAGAACAAGCATATGTAAAAGCTGAGAGGTGTGAGAGAACAGGGCATATTCAGAGAGCTGCAGAATGTCTGTGTGCCTGATAGGTGAAAGCAAGTGAGGGCACATGAGGAAAGCTAAAAAATTTTCTCCTTGTGCCAGTCTATTTCCACTGAATTCTTTGCTCATTTTATCAGTCCAGATGAGAGTGATGGTCTTTTTAGTTCAGTTTTCAAAAACTGTTTATCATTTCATTTTTATACCAACATATGTTCATTATAGAAAGATTGAGAAGTAAAAAAAAAAGAAAAATAGGGTTTAAAAATTACTGATGGCCCATATGGCTTAAGAATATTTCTTTAACATCTTTATGTATTTATGTTTACTGTTGTTTTTTCACTTTCTCTTTTTATCTAGGTGTGAGTATAATTTAAACTTTTGTAGTAGTTTTTTATTCTACTTTCTTCCTAAAACTTGTCCAAAAATGGACATGTCTGAAAAAAGCTGATCATGAAATACATTGGCCGAGATACACATGTTCTCTCTAATATGCTTATTTTCTTCTTTTTATCAGATTTCTTGTGGCTCAGAGCATAATGTGGCAGTAATTGGTAAGTGATTTTTTTACATATTGATAACTGTATTCTGAAATTGATGTGATTGAATTAGAGCAGATCTTGGTTAACTAGAAGCAAGCGTGTGTGTGTGTGTGTGTTTGCACGCATATGTACCTGCATGCTGGGAGCAGATTTAGACTTGGGAAATGGAAGACTTTGTTTGCCTAAGGTTTCATTAGAAGCTTCTTTTCTGAAAATTTCAGTCCATGTACTTGATCATCTTTTTAAGTGACTGAGCTTGCCTCCCTGTGTCGGGGTTGGGGTGGGGGAAACGGGTATTTTGAAGATATTAAAGAACTCACAGGCTATGGACAGTGGGGTAGGGAGGGGTGTTATATATAGAAAGACACTAAGAAAAGAAAGAACTTATTGGGCTTCTCTAGTTCTTTGAATAAATCCCTTATATGATGTTCTTTCCTCTTGGTTCACTTTTTGGAAATTTGAGGCTTGGCTCACTGCACTCATTTCCTTGTGTTTAGTAAAACTCAGAAACTCAAATTGGAGTCCAGTCTGTGCTTAAATTGAGGTTTCCCTTTAGTTGGCTCTGAATAACCAAAGTTTAATCATCTGTAATTAATTTGAGATGCCTTCTTGTGCAGGTAGGTTCAGTCTATATCTCACAATCCATTGAACAGACTACAGTGTGAGCTAGCCTGCCTGACTTCAGTGCAGCTTTCCTCCTGTTAGCAGTAAGCAAGCGCAAGGACATCTGTGCCTCATTTCCTTCTCTTTATTTTTAATAGAGATTTATTCATTTGCATATGAAAGGCAGAGTTACAGAGACATTTGGTTTGTTCGCTGCCCAGATGACTGCCACATCTAAAGGTGCATTAGGCCAAAGCCAGTAGCCTAGAACTTCATCTTAGGTCATCCACCTAGGCAGCAGGAGCCAAGTATTTGAGACATTTTCTGCTGCTTTCTTGGGAGCACTAGCAAGGAGCTGAATCAGAAGTGGGACAACCAGAACCAGAACTGTGACACTGTGGATGCGAGGGTCACAGATGATGATTTGGCCCACTGTACCATTGACTCCTACTTAATGTTTTCAGTTCAAGTAATTGTTTCTCATTTGTAAGACTGATATTTTAAAGTGTAAACCTAAATTTTTCTGTAGTTCTGACATATTAGGATTCTAATTACAACCCTGCCACGGCTGGGCATGTGTTGGTGACCTCTGCTTCTGTGCACTTCTCTCTTCCAGCTTCTGACTCTGACCATCTGAAAGACAAGGCCCCCGTGTTTTCCTTTCCTTTCTTGCCTTTTCAAAGCACCTAGAACAGTGTCTGGATCTTTCCAAAGACTAAAATTCTCTTGTCTGAAGTAAGCTAGACTGGCTCAGCTGCCTTGGGTAGCAGTAGTTTGAATCACTACTTGGCAGGCCAAAATGGGGTGTGCAAAGAGGCAGAACCCAGGATAGCAAAGGATAGCAAAGGAGGGAAGCTGCCAGCAGCAGAGAGGTGAACAGTAAAAGGGCTGGAATAAGAGAAGGAGCTAGAAAATATCACAGTGAACCGGCATGCTTTGCAGGCTACCAGATACTTTATCTACTCCAGCCTGGATGTAATTAAGACAAGCTAATCTAGGCAGTGCCTAGAATGTTACTGCTGCTGCTGCTACTGCTATCACTGCACTAGGAGGGATTGGCTTCCTCTAAGCCCGATTGCGTTCATGTCAGGCTTCTGTTATGCACTATGCCAGACGGGACTCAGGCCCCACTTGCTTCAGTATGCAGCGGGCCCACAGCCACTGTGTTTTGTTTCCTCTAGACATGGAAATTGTACTCTGCTACTTCACATGCTTTAAGGCTTCCTTCCCCTCCAGCCCCTTGTTTTTGTAATGTGGCAGATTTCTTTGCTTGGTTTCTTGGTTGAGTTTCTCTCATCTCATCAGGCATGGCTACATTGGAAGATGGGTTGGCATGAGTTGCTGCTTAAGAATGGGGAAGAACTGTTGGGTCTGGAGACAGTGAAACTCAGATGCTGCCATTAGCCATGGCTGGCTTGACTACTCTCCCTGTGTGCCTTATACAGTTACCCTGTTTCGATCTCATGTGACAGATCCCATCTTGTGATAGCCACCCCTGAGAGCTGTCCTCCAAAATGGTCATGACTGTCCTGCTCAGTACCTGTTACCTCATAGGCACTCGGCAAGTGGTTGTTCACTTGGCTTGTTCTGTACTTTATTTTCCTCCTTTCCATTCATGCTTCCCCTCCACTTGCAACAAAACTTGGTGAATGGCTCCCAGATGAGTTGAGGGTCTCCTAGAGCAAGCCCCCTGGAGCCAGCTGTGTCTTTAGGTCCCTCACCTCCATGTCTTGTTGAATTGTCTCCAGCTGTTTTGCTTTCCTCAGGAGCAGCTTATTTTGGCTTGAATGGGCAATTTGTTTGACTTCTCTCCTGATGTGCAGTTGTTCAGCCTTCCCTTCCTGTAGAGAAAAAAGAGCTGACTGTGTTTCCTTTCTCCCTGCTTCACACAGACCCTTGGAAGGATGCTATTGATGGCCTTTTCCTGGAGCACTCAGGCTAGCAAGAAAGGCATTGTGAAAGGCTTGGATGTTGGCAGGAAAAGTGTGGTTCCTCCTCCTCCTCCTCCTCTTCTGAGCAAAGCCAATTCCTTTACTAAATGGAAGCTATAATCTATGCATAGTTTTTTTTTTATTTCACTGATGATTTCCAATTGTTGAACCTTTGTACCTTTGTAATACATATGGCAGAACATCTGACCTTGGCCTGCAACCCATCAAACAGAATCATCTAAGAATTTAATAGAGAGAAAAATTTAATAGAGAAAAATAACTCTATATTTGGCACTGGCTGTTCTGAGACACAAAACCTTCAGACTTATAGGGCCTTATAGAGAGCTTGGAGGCAAGTACAAACTTGTTTGTTCTAATAAACAATTTAATAGGCAGAATATAATTATATTATCCTAGTAATTCTTATATCCAATTGATGATTGTTAGTATTATTCATCCCATTTTTTAGCTAAGGGGAGATGAAGTTTGGGGGAAGCAGTTTATTCCAGGCATGTTATACCCTTAGGAAGAATGTCTATGCTGAGTCTTTAATCCAGGCCTCTAACTTTAGATCTTGTAGCTGTTACCCAGTGCTGCCCTCATGCGAAGCTCTGACAGTACCCCCCTGTTTTTAAGGCCACCAGATAAGAGTATTTCATCTCTTTCAGCATCTAGCTCCCCTTCATATTGACAAGTTCAGTATAGCCATCCTAAATCTCTTCTGCTTCAAATTACAGCTCTCTGTGTATAACACCCAGATGAGATTATAAAATTCATGACATTATTTTGGAAAACTACCCCTTTTTAGGATGTTTTTTCCTCCTTCTATTTTCCTTTACTACTTTTTCTTTTTTAAAAACGATTTTTTTTTAATTGGAAATGATTTACAGAGAGAAGGAAAGATAGAAATATCTTCCATCCGTTGGTTCACTCCCCAAGTAGCCACAATAGCTAGAGCCAATCCAAAGCCAGGAGCCAGAAGTTTCTACCAGTTCTCCCTTATGGGTACAGGGTCCCAAACCTTTGGACCATCTCTGCTGTTTTCCCAGGCCACAAGCAGGGAGCTGAATTGGAAGTGGAACAGTCAGGACACAAACTGTCACCCATATGGGATTTTAGAGGTTGAAAGGGGAGGATTAGCCAATTGAACTATTGTGCTGGGCCCTGTCCCTTTCTACTTAAAGAAATGAATTTACTTAATTTTGAGTGATTGGTACATGTACATAAAATATATAAAAAGATTTAAAATGAAAACTTCCCTCCCATGCTGTATTCCATCTTATCACTTTCTAAAAGCTCTTCCATTACATATACAGCTAGTGTCTGTTAGTCATTTCTTTTGGTTACTTTTGGTAAGTTTAAGTGTATACTAGGATGTTTTTATCTTTTCTTTCATGTACATACTTTTCAGTGTCTTTTTTTTCTCAACAGTTTATATGGAATCTCTTTCTGTAGCAATATAAAAACCTTCCCAATTCTTTTTTACAACTAGCTGATATTCTCATGTTCCTGTGTGCCATATATTTTTTATTCTCACTTGTAATAGACAGGAACAGCCCATGCTTCCATTATCAACTACACTGTCCATGTTTGAAGATGTATATTAAGCATAGTTTCCTATACTGTAAATCAGCTAGATCCTTTAAAACAGCTATCTGTATGTACAAATCACGCATCATTTATTCTGGCAGATCTTCCCCAGGGGATAACACCCGATTCATCACCTGTCATATCCTGTTTGTGACACAGTTCAGACAAAGTAAAGAGAAATTGTAGATTTCCAATTAACTAGTAGTAGTAAAAAAGCTAATGTAAGTATAACATAGTATCAGTTTCCCAATTCTAGTAATTTTAAAAATGCTTATCAACAAAGGAAGAATTTGCTTGCTTAGGTATTTGAAATACAACTTTATTCTGGTTCTAAACAAAGAAGCATGGGAATTATAGGAGCACAACTGATTTCACCACTGAATATTATAATGAGACTATTTGCAGTCTTATATTTGAAACTTGAGAAGAAAACAGCTACCTTCCAAAACAGAGCTAAGTATGCAGGTCCAAAATACGATGGTAGTTTTTAGACTACCACATTCACTGTAAACTCATTCATCTCCTTGAGTGTTCCACGAATGAAGCCAGACAACAAGAGCAGCACACACACTGTCTTGCTAATATCATAGGACAGATACCTCTAAAACCAGACTGGGCTGCAGCATCATTTACTCACAGGTCTACCTTCCCCATCTGGGATAGTAGTTGCCTGCACAGTCTGTAAGTCATGTTCATATTGCACTGACAGTATTGAGTCCATGACCACTGACAGTATTGAGTCCATGAGGCAGGAGCGGGCATGGCAATGAACTCTGACTTGGGATCTCCAGTGAACTCTAGCAAGCCAGAGGAAGAGCTTTGTAAATTTGTAGTCTTTGAAATATTGTAGTACCAGAGGTTCTTCTTTTGGTCAAAGATATGGATTTT